GTGGTTCAATGGGTTTGGAATGATGATCGGTTCGTGGGTGCATCTGGAGGTGATAAGAAAGAGGAGTTGATAAGAAAGAGGAGGAAGACTGTGTAAAGGGGATCGGGTTGTTTGTTGCGTGTGAAAATTTTCAATCGTTGTGGGTTAAGTTGACTGATCTCTTTTGTCGTCTTTCCTTAATCCCTTTTTTGTACAAGTAAGAGGGTTCACTGATCCAATTAAACCACCCATCACCGCGTGCTGAAAAATCGGGCTACCTCTTGGTAACCCTCCTGCAGAGACCCAAACAGAGACGCAACGATCAGCTGGAAAAGGGGAAGCCTCGTATTAATCAGGGTGGTCGCAAAAGGTGGTGCTGCTCTAGTCTGGCACATCGGGGGGTTGGGAGGGGGGGGTGTTGATCGGTCACCTGGAAGAACTTGGTCTGGATTGACGACCAGAAGCGTTCTCTCCGGATCGACATGGCAGTCTATTTCTTTCCCCCCGTCCCAGCTCCCCCCCTTCCCCCCCCTTGGATTTGGTTTACCCAAGGGCTGTTTCTTAAGAGACCGCTGGGGGGTGGACAGGGATGAACCTCCCGCTGCGCGGGTTGATTACGTGGGTTTTCAGCACATGGATCTTGATTGCGTGGATTTTCAGCACGTGGATCTTGATTACGTGCATTTTGAGTACATCGATTTTGATTGAGTTGATCTTGATGACGTTAAGTTTGATTGCATTAAAGTTTGATTAAGGGGATTCTCATTGCGTTGATCTGGATGGCGTGGATTTCAATTACATCGTTGTCGATTTCCTGGATCTTAATTACGTGAATTTTGATGACGCCGATTTTGATGGCATGAATTTTGATTACAGGGATGTTGATGACATGAATTTCGATTGCATCGACTTTGATCCCGTGATTGCTGATTACGTCGATTATGATTTCTTGGATTTTGATTACCTGGATTTTGACTTGGATTTTTATGACTTGGATTTTGATTAGGGTGATATTCATTACGTGGATCTGGACGACGTGTATTTCAAGTACATGGTTTTTGATTAACTGGATCTTGATTTCGTGGATTTTTAAAAACATGAACTTTGATTAGAGGGATGTTGACGACATGAATGTTGATTGTACATGAATGTTGATCACGTGGATATGATCTCCTGGGTTGTGATTACTTCTTTTTTTTTTTTTTTTTTTTTAATTTGAACCATTTCTCGATTTATGCGCACGTGTCATCGTTGAGTGCGCCGGGGGCATGCTAGTTATTCTTCTCTTTCTCTGTATCGTTCCAATTTTACCGATGTCCCGAAGGACTGGATTACTCGAAATTTTTTATTTACTTCGAATTTTTATTTACTTCGAATTTTGATTACATTTTTGATTACTTGGATTTTTTGTGGTTGACAGGGATGGTCAGTGGCTGTGGGATCCGTGGAGGACGTCGATTTTTGCTACACAGCTTGGTCGTTAACTTGGCTGACTGATTGTCCCCCATCGAGTAGAAGCTGACAGCCGAGATTGATGATGATGCATAGGCGGAGTGGAACGAGTTGACTCCGATTCGGGTTGAATGGAAGTTTTAGGTGATTCCTGGTCGGTCGTGGTAGTTCAGGTGATCTCGAGTCGGTTGAGTAAGAGCTGAGTTCTTCGTCTAAAGTGGATTGAGCGAGTTTTAATTTGGTCTTGAGTTTGTTAGTTGAGTTCGTTTCGAGTTTGTTAGTTGAGTTCGTTTTGAGTTTGTTTAAGTCAGCTGTGAGTTCTTCCTAGGTCTCTTGCGTGGATTGAGTGCAGGCTGTTTTGAGTAAAAGCTGAGTTCGTCTAAGTGGGTGTGTTAAGTTGTACCTGAGTTCGTCCTGAGTTTGTTAAGTTAGGCTGAGCTCCTCGCCCTGAGTTTGTTAAATCACCAATCCACTTCCTAAAGTCGTGGCCGTTAACAAAAGCCGATATTTTAGGAAATGTACGGACCACTACAGGAGCGCCCAAATTCATTCGACTAGAAACGTTTCTACTCTATTGTTTTCCCCCACGGCCTATAGCTGGGCCAAGTACTGGTGGTTTAAGTTAGCTGAGTTCTTACGTCTTGAGTGGAGTGGATTGAGTAGAGACTGTGTTGAGTTAAAAGCGGAGGTCGTCTAAGCGGATTGGGAGAGCCGAGTTGGTCACATTTTCGGGGTCACATCCACTCCGTGGTCCAAGGGAGTTGTAGCATACGCTGGAAGGAAAGTAAAGTAGGGGAATCTTGACTGACCCTCTTCGCTGCTTGTAAGGGTTGGTTTCCCTCTCCGGTTCCATTTCTCGATTTATGCGTGTCATGCTTGAAAGCGCAGGGGCCATTTGCTAATTTCCCCTTCTCTGTATCGTTCCAATTTTTATGGATGTCCCGAAGGACGACCCTCTCCTGTTCGTCTTGAGTTTGTAGAGTTAGTTGAGATTCTATGTCCCGACTGGATTGGGTAGAGGCTTAGCAGAGGCTGAGTAGAGGCTGAGTGGTGGTCCCCCACAGAATTCAAACACGGCGCGCGTTTTACTTGAGTGGATAGACTAGGCTGTGTATTTATTTGAGTGTGAATTGAATATAAGCGGAGTATTGGAATGGATTGAGTAGCAGCTGAGTTCGTCTTGAGTGGGTTTGTGTAAAGCTGAGTTTGTCGTGTAAGGGTTGTTAAAGGGCGTCGCTTCACTACTCTCGGCGGCATGCACAAAAGACAAAAATCATGGCCGTGTACCTGTCCATGTTCTGGCGGAAGATTCACTCTCGTTTTGCACATTTCGAGACTACCGGTAGTGGAGCGAGGCCCTGACGCTGAGATCGTCTTGAGTGGATCGAGTAATCCTAGTGTATCTTGAGTGGATCGTTTTTTCTTTTTTTTTTTCCCCTTCTCTTCTCCCTTCTCGTTTTATTCCGTATGTATGCCCTTCTTCTCTTTCTTTTCCTTTCTTTATTCTTTCTTTTCAAAAGGAACACGGCCTTGAGGTATCATTCCGTATATATGCCCTTCTTCTCTTTTTTTTCCTTTCTTTAT